AACATAACCTCCAAAGCAAAAAGGGGACTGGGAGCAGAAGTGCCCAGCCTGCCTTGCTTGACGTAATCTCCCCGCCGGCTTCCAAGGTCAACAGCGAGCTGTTTGTACGGCCCTGGGCGAGAGGAGGCCTTCTGGGAGGAAAGCAAACAGAGGAGATGTCCTCTGCCCGCACAAAAGGTGCTGTATTCCCGTGTTGCTCCGTCCCCGGCTAGGAGGGACATAAAATTAGCGCTGTTTTCGTCCATTCATTGTATAAATACCGCGCGTGGTGCCCACCCCCCTGTTTCCTCCCAGAGCTTGCAGGTCTGTGATGGGGAGGGGGGGAAGGCAGGCTCAGCAGCTGGTCAGCAGGGTGAGGTGAGGGCACGCACATGTGCAAAAGGGGGGGAAATGAAAGAGGAGTGCGTTCAGGAGAGGAGCATCACGGAGAGGAGCTGCACACAGCATCGCCCCAGCCACTCGGGAACAAAAGCAATTTCCCCATCGCCTGGGGATCGCTGAGAGGGGATGGACACGTGCAGAGCATAGAGGGATGGATAACAGATCCCTTGTGCTATGGTGATGCTGTGCACAAAGCTGGACCCCGCAAAACTTCAGGGAACAGCCCCAAACAGCCCTGCCAATTCAGGCTGTGGCCCTGAGGTGCTGCCCCTGCCCCTTGCAGAGGAGATGACCAGCATCCTGCACCCCAAAAACCCTGCCTGGGTGCAGGAGGGGTTCCCAGGTCCATTCATCCCCTCATTTCGCAAAGCCCCAGCCCTCTGGCAGTGTAAACCCTAAACCCATAAATGTTTGGAGCCCATTCCTCCTACATCCCCCATGACGTCTGAACTCCATCTACCCAAGCACAGAGGTGAGGAGCCAGGACGAGGCCAAGATGCCCCATCCAGCACCCAAATATGTGACCAGAGGTGTCCGTCCCTGCTCCCTCCACGCAGCCCTGTTGAGCAATCGGAAAGACACCGAGAGGACAGGAGAAGTGAGAAAGAAAAAAAAATATTTTATTTAAAAAAAAAAGGCAAACAGAAGCCGCTCTGTGCGCCCCATCCCACCCGCAGGCTGCTATTTTTACCGGGTGATGAACAAGCCACAATATCGGGGCGGGGGCGCGGGGCGAGCCGGGCTGTTTACGTCTGCCGGCGCGGGGCGAGCAGAACGCAGCTCATTGAGCACGGCACGGCCGCTGCGGGCTCAATGGGTGCCTTGTGCGGCGCGGGAGGCTCGCGGAGGGCAGCAGTCCCGAGCTGGGATGCAAACGGGGCCGGGAGAAGCTGCCTGTGAGCACACGGTTTGGTTGTTAAAGATGGGTGAGTTTTTTGCCCGTGCTGACAAGGGTGGATATTCATCCTGGAGGAAAGGGGCGCAGGTGCTGGGGTTTGGGAGAGGTCCCTCCATGCCCGCTGATGACTTTTTGCATTTTCAGCCCCTATCTCATGTTCTCAGCATGTCTCAATGGGCAAAACCTCTTCCAGGAGCTCTCATGCCCCTCCTAATTTTTACCCACAGGGCTTTCAGCACTGCTTCTTCCCATCCCTCTGGTTGCCCATCCTGGCACGGGACCCCAACGTAGGACCATACGTTCCCCCCCAGCACCCGGTGACAGGGCTGTGCCGACACATGGACATCACACCCTGCTTCTCCCAGCCCAGGGCCTTGGCGTGGAGCAGTGCTGGACCCAAACGTGACCGTCAGAGCTGACTTCGAGGCACCCTGGCAGCAGCGCTCAGATGAGAGATGGTCAGGCTGGCCATAAAAGCACGGACGGGACCCTTTAGGCAAAAGCTTAACGCTCACAGATTGCCCCTAAATCTCCAGTGCCTTTTTCTGGAGGTTTGGCACAGACTTTCAAATTGTGCCCAGCCCCGTTCAGTGGCCTCCGCATGGAGCAGCCAGGATCCTGCACCCTCTTCTCACATCCCTGCTGGTTTCTTAAGTGCCTAGTTAGCATTAAATAGGATTAAATAATACTAGAAATAAGTGTTCTGGGATGCCAAGCCCTCCTTTTCACCCTGAGAGGAAGACAAGGGTTTGAGCTGCAGGCCGTGAGATGGCTTGAACTGGTGGTTGTGGAAAAGGAACAGCTTCATGGTAGCGAGGGGGCAGGTCTGCACAATTTTTAAAAGCAGTTTGAGGATTTTATTCTTTATTCCTGCTTGTTCTATTCCTGATTTATTTATTTATTTATTTATTTATGGCTGGAAATCCACCCAGGCCTGCCTTTCATTGCTTTTGGAAACCCACAAATAACTATCAGCCCAACTGATTGAATCTTTTTCTGTCTGGTGTCATTTCCTTTTCTGCCTGTTTGCAGTCAGTGACTGCTTCCACCGTGCAAATTCTGGATATTCAATAGGCAAAGCTATTATTCACCCTTCCTTGTGCACTGGGTTTGTTCTCTGATCAAATATTTGCGCTCCCCAAGGGCTGAACCTCTCTGGGAATAGCCACAGGTCTCCTTTGAACGTTATAATGAGATGTAAAAGCTTTACCTGACCGTGAGCACTCCTCTAGCTTGTTACCTGTACTCCTGAGACCTCTGAATTGTCACTTCCCTGCTTTAAACAAAAAACAAAAGCCACTTATATGGCTTTTTTGACCCAGCCTCTCCTCAGCTTCAGAACAAACAAACACAACCGGCTCCAGCAGCGGTTTATGAATCACAATTTCTCTGCACGTATTTAGCTGTTTTTCCAATCGCTCCCGATGCAGACACAGAACTGGGACAGCCAGCAGGTACTGTGCAGTTTCTACCCCTTCCCAAAAGTTGCTAAGGAACCGCTTTGTGTGGAGCATCACATTTTCCTAGCTGGTCAGCTCCAAAGTGGAATTTTCTCTGCTCCCTGGCTGCAGCTCGCGAAAGGTTCAGATGGGGTTTTCTTTGCCAAACCACAGTGGCAGCAGAGGGTACACAGGGCTCCCAGTCCCTCCCCAGCCAAAAATCCCAAAGTGTGCATTGCCCGGGAGGACTTCGTGTCACGGCGAGAAGGGGCTGTGGCCAGGCGTGATGTGTCGCAGAGCCCCTCGCACACGTGAGTCAGGACAGAATCACTCCGGGCGCGTTTTATAGCTCCTGTCTACGTGCTTTTCTTCCTGCCCAGCTGGAAATACCGAGCCCTGCCTCAAGCACAGGCTGTCATGCCCTGTCTGAAGTGCGCCTTGCCTGTCATCTTGCTGCTACAGCCATGCCATGCCGCCCGGCATCACAGGCAGGCGATGCTCCGGCACAGCCACAGCAGCACCGCTGGAGATGGCAGCAGCCCCTGGGGCCGAGCCCGTGCCCTTTAAGTCATTGGGACGCCCCCGCTTGACCTTAAAGGATGGAAGATTAAACATGACTTCGATAGGCAGCGTTCTTATCCACCAAAAGGCACGCAAGGCAGGTGGGAATAAAGTATGAGTCTCGGACAGGGCTGTAAATGTCCTGTCCAGTGGTCCTGAAGAGTTTTCCCTCCCCACCCTTTTGACCTTAAGCGTAAAGGTACCAAGAAAGCTTTAGCACTAAGTTTTTCCTGCTGAAAAAAAAAAAAAAAAAAAAAAAAAGAGGGTGATCTCCAAGGGGGAGATTCGTGGCCAAAGTCCCTCCTGGGAAGGAGCGTGCCTCCACAAGCTGTGGTCTGGCTCTGGCTGTCGGGGTGATGGATGCCCGGCTCTCAGGAGGGGGCACGAACACAGTGAAGGGGTTACGAGCCTCGGGTTTAGCAGTGGGACAGCCGAGGGAACAAGCTTCGAAATGAGGCATGGCATCGAGGTAATTCACGGAGGGAGGGCAAAGCATTATGTTGTAAACCAGAAAGCAAAGGAGGGCGCTAGGGAAAGAGAGGGAAACGCAGAAATTGAAATTTCAGGCACTGCTGGCCTTGGGTCTGCCACCTTGACCTCTTGGAGATGTCTGAGCAGCACAGGGGGATGAACGGGCAGGTGAAGGGAGCCAGGCACAGCCTGAGCCAGGGGACTCCTCGCAAGGCGCAGGTTGAGTCCCCAGCCCTGTGCCCACCCTCCTGTGTCGCTGGGGAGGCACACACAGTTTCTCAGCCAGAAGAGGTTTTCTCAACTGGGAAAGCCTCAGCTGTCTCCCACCCCCCCCCACCCCCCCCCAGCTGCCATCCAGCCCCTTCCCAAGCCGAGGCCTGCAGGAGCAGCCCCATCGCATGCTCCTCAGGCACAGCTTCGCCCACTCCAAGTCACCAGCATCCACCACTGAAAAATAAATAAATAAAGTCAAAACTCATTACAGCCTCTTCAGCACCTTCCCACAGCGTCCGAACTGCCAAGGACTCCACGATGGGATCCTCCCTGAGGTTTTGGGGTGGTTGCTTCAGCCTTCATCACCCCTCAGTGCTCCCTAGCTCTGCGTTTCTCCCCTGGTTCTTCCACAGCACAGCTTTTGGACAACTCCTCTCCCCATCAGCCTCATTCCTCTGCCTCCATACCACTCATCAATTACCACTGCTCCAGGTGCTTTCCATGTCCTCACAGCGAGCATCCTCTCCCTCTTCCCACACCTCCACCACCTGCCTCCCCCCCTGCCCCGCAGAGCCCCCCGGAGAGGTCCCCAAACTTTCTTCTCTGCTGCTGTCTGTGGGCTCCCCGTGAACGTGCCCATTGCTGGTGGGCCAGCAGCGATACTGCCTGCACTGCAGACACGCGTGCTTTGCTCAGGTTCCTTAATTAGCTTCATGTTATTTTAGTTTGCATAAACCACGTTCTCTTTTTATTACATAAACTATTTCTTCTCTCTCAACCACTTGTGGTGCTCCATGTAGTTTGCTTCCAAACCAGAGGGCTAAATTTAATCCCCCACTCCCCATTCAGCTTTCTCCATTTACAGTATTTTTTTTTTGGCAATGCTTTTTTTTTTTTCTTTTTCCCTTTTCTTTTCTTTTCTATTTTTTTCCCCTCTTTCCAAGAGGCTGGGCTTCCTTTTCTGTCCTTAAGCCCTCCTATTTCCCCCTGCCCCCTGGATGCCTGCCTACCTTTACTCTAAAATCCAGAGGAGGATCCAATACACTTAGTTTGCCAGCTCTTCAAGAGGTATCTAAGGAGGCTGACAGGAGTTTGATGGTCTCTCTTGCAGCCAGTGGCAGCTAATGTGGTCTGAACCCTCTCTCTCTTTTTTTGCCATTCACACACAGCACTTACTCTTCAAGCCTGCTGCTGCTGCCACTGCCTGAAAGGACCTGAAATACCACACAGGGAATTTTGATTTCTTCTGGGGAACCGGGAAAAAAAAAAAAAAAAAAAAAAAAAGCAGGAAAACTCATCTGGAGATTGCGAAGAAGACATACAGCAACAGCAAGAAGTGGCAAGCTCTTTCCGTCCTGAACGCCAAAAAACACCTAATTTCTCTGCCAGGTGTATGGGACTTAGATTCTCCAAGCACTGCACTGAACTGTTAAAGGTAAGGGGTTGCGCTTTCCTCCCTCTTCTCTCTCTTTGGGATTTTTTCCTTAACTTCCCCACTTCTTTCCTCGGTGCTCTATAGGCGCGGGCTCTAAAAAAGTGGATTGTCTCTTTCCCTGGTGAGCAGGGATGCGAGGGAAGTTGCACGCTGACTGCTCCCAGGGTTTTCCACGGAGCTGCCCTCCTGCCAGCAGCGCTGCTGTGAGAGGAGCCTGCTGGGATCCTATGGGGCCGGGCTGCCAGCAGCACCGCCGTGCCGGCCCCACACCAACCCCTGCAGCTATGGGGCTGCGGGGGCACGGCCCCATAGCTGGAGACTGGGGCCATGCGCCGAGTTTGTTAGTTCTTGGGCGAGGGAGGGAAAGCAAGGCACGTGGCTTGGGACACCGGGCATCCAATGCCACCAGGTGGGAGCACAGAGAGGGGGCCACCCCTCTGCCTGCTCCCCAAACGACCGTCGGTGTTCCTGCACGATGGATTTTGGCTGCCGTCGGTGGCATTTCTCATCCCGCTGCTGAGCGCGGGGCAAGGAGGCTGCGGCTGAGCTTGTTTGTCACTGGTGTCCTAAACCATCACGGGCTGTCTGCCGGTGACTGCTCCGCTCGCTGCCACCAAATCGCTATCAAGAGCACAAAGGGTGCTCTGTGGGCTCGTAGGACGTGAAGCCGCAGGTTGGCGGGATGAGAGCAGGAGGAGGATGAGAGGAGATGGGATCGGGGAGGTGGGACCGTGTGCAGCACGCGTGCCACGGCTGCGAGCGAGCCCGTGGCACTGACAGCAGCTCCTGGATGGTTTCCAGAGCGTGGTGCAGGGCACTGCTCGGTGGCTGCCCCTCTCCGAGCTGATTCCTGGCTGAAACACATTTTCAGCAGTGGCTCAGTAGTAGCTGAGCTCTTCTCTAAGAGCAGGCAGAGCAAAAAGTTTTTGTTCTTCGGCGCCTCTGTTGGAAATTTCTCCTTTTAGGTCACTCCCTGCTTTTTAAGACTTTTTCGCTTAAACTTTGTGCTCAGCAGCAGCCTACCCTCTGCATGTAGCGGAAAGCATGCTTTGTAACTCTGCCCTTTCGAGATGTTTGGCCAAAAAAATGCAGTTTGAAAAGTTCTCCCAGTTTTCTAAAATAACTTTGCCAGATGTGGGAAGGGGGGGGAATATCCCATGATGAAATAGTTGGGTGAGAGGAATTTTTTAGCATTCCCCACTATTTTCCTTTTTGTCTGCGAGCTCCAGATAGAGGACGCTGGCTGGGCAGAGGGGCCAGGGGTTCGGGGACCGATTTGGTGGGCTTTCAAGACCCCACGGAGAAGATCTGTTTGTTTCTCTGCTTTGGTTGTTTGGTGCTATATGTTTTTGCAAAACTTCTGAGGCTGTACCCACCCGGCAGGGCAGACGGGAGGTGTTTTCCCTCTCCGAGACGTTTGGAGGTGCTGTCAGAGCGCAGAAGAAGGAAGCATCCCCACTGCCCTCGCTGGGCCAGGGATGTTCCCGTGCTGCCTGCGGGCTCTCAGCAGCCCCAGCAACCTTTAGGGAAAACCCCATCTCCTCTGCTAGAGCTCCTGCTTGATGTTTCCTACAACCACTTCCACAGACAGAAGCAGGGTTTGACAGCAGCGAGAGGACTGGAGGATGGGTGGGTAAAGAGAGTCTGCAGGTCAGGAAGCCGAGGAGATTAACTAAAATGCTGCAGACTTAGCACCGTCAGTGTAAACAGCAGCTCCTCACTGTAAAATATGACCTAACTGGAGAGAAATGTTAGGGGGTTTGGGGAAGGAGAGGATGGGTGGTATCATTTAAAAGACAGAAATGAATGAATGAGCGTGTAAACTGCTGTTCCATGCTCTGGTATCAACCAGAGATGTGTATAATGGCCAGAAAACCTGGGGACTCCAAAATCCCCTCTGTTACTGGTCTCTTCTCTCCTCCTCTCCCTGGGGCAGCTCCTCCTCAGCCATAAATTGCCCAGGCCTGGTGACTTCCCTGCCTCTCCACGCTGCCTCATCCCAGCAGGGACACGGGCTGGTGGAGGGCCAACTGCTGCCCGTTCCACACTCAACAGGACCTTTCTTAGCTGCCTGAGACATCTTTTCCACCGCCACCTGCCGCCGTCTCCCCGCCGGTGGTGGGACGGCTGCTCCACCGCAAGCCCAGCCTTCCCCAGCCTGCCTCCCTCTCCTCCTCCTCCTCCTCCTCCTCCTGCTCCCCCCGGCAGCCTCCACGTGTGAACAAGCCGGGCTGTGTGTGCTGCTCGCAGGCAGCTTCCCAGCAGCAGCAACAAAAGCCGTCTTCATCCCGGGTCTGGACCACATACGGAGCCAGAGCAGGACGGCTGCGGAGCAGCCCGCTGCATTCAGGGCTGTTTAAAGAGGGAAAGAGAGAGAGAGACAGCAAAGAGAGGGAGCTGTTATAGATATATATTTAAAAAAAAAAAAAAAAAAATACTTGAGCCCAGTGCAACAACGGAAACCTTACAGTTTACTTTTAAAAACTCAGTGCTTCCTTGTGCGCGGGCAGAACAGCCCGGCCTGTGTGCACGGCGGGGCTGCGGGCGCTGCCTGTGTGCACAAGGCAGGGTGTGTGCGCCGCTGCCCCGCGCCGCGCTCAATGGGCTCACAGTGCCGAGCTCAAGAAGCTTTTTGTTGGCCTCATGAATAGGCGGGGGGATTTGTAGTGTTCGCCCGGGCAGCCTTTTTTTTTTTTTTTTTTTTTTTTGATGCTTCGCACTGAGATTTTTCCCTCCAGCGTCTTTTACGACAGGCTTTCCCTTTTTAATAAAAATTTCCATTTCTCCCTTGCATGATGTTCTTCCTTCCCAGTGGTTCCTCAGCACAGACTGGGGAGCAGAAGGCTGGGGGAAATGATGAGGAAGGCCAGAATCCTTTGACTTGGGTACCCCAAAACCTTCCACACGTGTTAGCTGCTGAAATGTGTTGAGGTGCCAAGCAGCAGCCAAGTGGACCGCCTTGCTCAGCTCTCCTTGCCCTGCTTTACAAGCCCCCATGCAGTCACTGTGGTGAGCTAACACTCCTGATGGCTTCACCTGGAGCCACGTTACAACCCCACAAGCAAACAGGGGAGATGGTGGCACCTGGGGGACTGGGTGTCCCAGTGGCTCTGCGCTTCCTCAGGGAGGAAGGCTTGCTGTGCTGGGAAAGCAGGACACTCAGAGGCCTATTTCAAGCACCATCATCTGCGTTTTCACCTTTGTAGTCACTCTTTGTGCCAACCAAGGCATGGCGACTCGTGGCTTTTCTCCAGATGCTGGCTCAAGCCGGAGCACAGCGGGCTCATGTGGAGTAGGAGAAGTTCGGGAGAGGCCCAGAACTTGGCTGAGGGCCGTACCGCACTGCTCAGCTCCCCCCGGGGGATCGGAGGCCTCCTTGGGGTGCAGAGGCTTGTGCTGGCCAGGAGCAGAGCTTGCTGAGAGGAATTTGGGCGATGGGCTGTCCTGGGGAAGGCAGGTCAGCACCGTTCGTCCCCCGTTTGCTGTTAAAGTTGATGAAAGTTGACCACGCAGATGGCCCTGGTTGCCACCATTTTACCTGGGCGTCTACATGGGAGCTGGGGATCTTCTGAAGCACCTGGGTCTCACACGGGGTGTAAGGAGCTGAACCCAGCGATGAAAGGTGCAACAGGGGCCACAGCAAGCAACAGGAGACAAAAGGGCATCTGCGAGGCAGAAATGAGGTGACCAGGACAGCAAAGTGTTTCTGGTCGGGTAGGGAAAGGACTGCTCACGAGTTAGGCCCGAGAGTAAAGCTGCCTGTCCAGCCATGCCCAATAAACCTCGCTTACATTAGCGGGAAGATATGGAATGTAAATACTCATGCTTCAAGGCACAAGGCAACCACTAAATGCCTAGTGTCAAAAGGAAACTTCCTCCTCAGCAATTTCTCCCCTGTTTTTCGATGATGAGAACTTTGCTCTGAAGCTGGTGATACGGATCTTGTCCAAGACAGGATGCTGGCCCGGACACACCACTGGTTTCATCTGGGCTGGCAATTTCCAAGTGCTTTTGGCTTCTACAATGCCCTTGGTTCACACTAGGCAGAGGACTTGGACAGGTAATTAACAGTCATGACAACCACTGAAGGACAGAAGGAATTGTCTGTGAAGGCCACAGGAGGGATAGATGTGACTTAATAGAGAGAAAATGAAATAGGAATAATTTGAAAGGAAAATATATATGTATTCTTTAGGGGAAATTAACAAAAAATAACCAAGGAACTGAGTCTTAGATCATGGACTGAAGGGAAAAAGGTGTGCAAAGGAAATGTGGAGGCCAGCAGCTGATAAACAGGTGAAAATGATGGCACTGATCCCTTCCAGCTGGAGCTCCCCTCCCTCATTCACACCTCCTCCAGGAGAGCTGTGCCCAGGACTGAACAACCCGTAATGCACAGCAAAACCTGCTGCTCCTGCTGGGATCCTGCACGGGCCAGAGATAAATCCCTGCCACAGCCCTGGAAGTCCCCAGTCAGAGCAGGCTTTGTGCAGGGCAGATTCAGCCCGGCTGGCATAACTCTTCTGGCTTCAGAGGATTACTCGGGATTAGCAGTGCTGTGGCACAGCAGCTAAGGGTAATTAACATTACATCATCTGTACCACGGCTTCAAGGTTGAAATCATCACGTAGTTCACATATTGGAAATTACAGGATGGCTTTTGTATGAATGATTAACTGTCACTGTTACTTACCCCAGAAAAATAGTTTCTGTGGGGTTTGGTGTATAAATAATACCCTGTGTCTTCATGGTGCTCGGCTTCAAAGCAATGCTTCAGTGCTGTGCTCTAACGAATACCCTCCCGTTCTGTAATGACTGGTCTGCAAATGATGTCTTTTCCTCTGCCGTAAATTATACCGTGCAGTTACTGCTGCTATTGCATTCCGTCTGGTTAGTAAATAATACTCTTTACCTACTATTGTATCTGGGGTTTAAATAATACCCTGTCCTCCCACAGTACTTGGCATCTAAGTGTCACCCTGATCCTGCATGGTGCTTTG